TTTCAATTAACCTCTAACCTACATACTGTCTTCCATTCCATTTGGAAGGGGAAAACAAAGGCCCCGCCGCCGCTTCCTTGGTCTACTTTCGTTTTATTTTATGGAACGCCCTTTATTTGTCGCCTTCTTCACTCATCGCATACCTACGTACAATAGTCGAAACAAGCAAGCAACGGCCGACGATTCTATCCGTCTTCGCGCGCCTCTCCGAAACTATAAAATATTCAGCAACTTAACACGCCGCTTCCGAACTTTTCACATTATTGCTGTTACAGCAATATACTCTCTCTACACGTGTAACGTCAAACACGTGTAACGTCGAAACTCGATTACCAAAACCGAAATTTTCCTAATTCGATCGTCCCGCATTAAATTATATTAATATTTAACCTTTAACTAGATCAAATACACTTTAATTATTTGCCCCGCAACTCCGAAGGCGTCAATTAGTAAAGATCAGAAGACGCGTGTGTTTCGACAAAACTCATTTACTTCGCGACCTCAAAGAACATCAAATTTAATTTAATAATGGAGAATCCTCTAATCTGTAACTAACTTTTTCCCGTCGCCCTCGGTGTGCAATGTTTTGTTTCCACGCTGTTTCAGAGTTGGAGCTTCGCAACACCAACTATACGACGTCGACCAACATTTTCCTTTCAGAAACTTCAAATTTAAGCCCATCTCCGTGCGAGTTTAATTGGCTCCTTCTTATTTTTTTTTCCCTCAACTTTAATGAAGCTTTCGAACAGCGGGACTTTCGTAAACAAATACTATTTCAGATTTTTCCTCATCGTTAAAAAAACATATACAAAGAACCGTTCTGCCGGAGGTGTTAACAAAATACAGAAAGAAAGACCTAGATACACACACACACAAATATTTGTAGAAGCACAGTGAAGAAATTAGACGTTCCCATGTAATTACAAAAACGATACGATTTCAGAAATCTTCATGACCGTAAAATATATAAAATATTTTATGTAGAAAATTTTAGTTTGAATTATCACAATTAAATGAATAACATCCACATTGTATGTATTGATTTTGTGAAAATCAAGGAGACAAACACAGACTGAAATGAATTCATTAGTCAAAGTAAACGTACCATATACATTCATAGGTGGACGTTTCGGATGAAGGGTGGACGGAAAGAAAATAGGTTAATGAAAAGCGGATTCGCGTTAAATGAAGTTGGATCAGAATTTGGTTAGGCCCTAGATTAGATAATATTAAATTAGTGTTTGCGTTTCAGACGGCGCCGGCGGCGAAGTTCGCAAAGTTGTATCACACAATGACCCTTTGAAGCCACTACATATCCTAAATCCATTCGACTATTAAAATTATGAACATTCATAAAGAAGGGTGAAAACGGTTACAAGGGGTTGGAAATAAGCAACAAAAGAAAGAGATGAACGGAAGTTCGTTTTCGAAGCAGTAACTCTTCGACGATTCCTATCTTTCTTTTTACCAAATCCCATAAAGCCGTATACGATCTACCAATGCTTATTTTATTTTTTTGCCACCCCCGCAATTTCGTAGCGGCTAAACGAAATATACTCGAGGGAGTGTCCGTGCGTATGTGTATCAAATTTTCTGATTGACGTGGAGGAGACACAAACAATAATTGTACACTCGCCTACGGTTTTTACTGTATTTATACCTACAATTATGATAATTAATACAACTGTTTCAAAAAAGAACAAGCAAACAATTAAAAAAAACTTTCAATATATAGAATAAATTCATTTAAAAGCAAATTGAAATTAACACAATTTTATGCGATTATTTTTTTTTTGTGACATTTTTCAACGAACGTTTAAATTCCAAATAGGAATTATAGAACAAAATACAGTCCTGTAATTCCAATTTGTAATCCGTTTATTAAGTGTATTGATGTCAATAATAAAAGGATTAAAACGTGCATTGATAGATCCGTTTCATTTTTTTTTGAAATTTTATAAATGTAGTAGATAATTTCATTTGCAATGCTCTATACAAATTTGCAACACGCACTTTGATGTTACACGAACCAAATTATTTTTTTTAATAGTAAAAAAAAATGTTCTCCGTTTGAAATTTATTTAATTAAGCTTCACTCTGCAATTTCAATATTTAACATGTTTTATTCAATTACTGTTAGATAATCGTACATATTTTTTTAAATTTTAATGATAAATTGTTTGGTCCATCTTTAGTTATGTAAAATGTTTGATTTTTTTTTATATAATCAATATTAATTGAGTTAAATTAATATGAACTGTCGTCTTTGTTTTTTGTGTCTGTAAAAATAATCAAATTTGCATGTGTTTTAGACTGGATGACTTAAACTTCATTTGCGTTGCGGGCAGGAAGATCGAGGCCGTAAATAAAATTGCGGCGGAATGAAAGGCGAAGATTTTAATTAAGAGTGTGGAAATGAAAAATGTATGTGGAGGGAGGGTGGATTTAATTGGGTCGCGCACGGTGGATGGAGTTTGGGGGGGTGGTTTGGCAGAAATTTGCAACCAACCGATCCGATGTTGGAGAGTGTGAGAGAGGGGTTGGTTTAGGGAATGTGTGTTCACTTGGAGTTTGCGGTGTTTTCGGAGGCGCCGTTAAATCTCCATAACTTCTTAATCTCGAGTGTTCCGCCAGCCGATAATTATTATTGCACTCTCCGATACATCCGCAGATTGCCGATTGTACGAAGCAATTAATGAGAGAACTGCCGAAAACACATTCCTGCGCGCACAGCCTGGCTATAGGCTATGCAAATGCCTTTAATAGCATTCGTTACGCAACGTGCGCTGTGTTTCTTTTCTTTCCTTACCTTCCTACTACTACCTTTTCGTTGCCGCATAGAAAGCGTGGAATTGACAATGGACTAAACCACTACATACATTTCCAAACGCCCACCGACTTCTCTCTCTCTCTCTCTCTCTTTTTCTAACACACAACGCATAACATATTTCTTTTTCTTCTTTTCACTAATCGATCCGGAATACATCATTCATATTAGTGTATTTCAAAAGAACGACAACTTCTATTTTTTTTTTCTCCACACAGCAACATTCAATGGCATAAATATATAAGGCGGAATTCAATTTCCATTAGCGCACATTCAGGAACGTGTGTACCGCGCCTCAAGTTCATGTAATTTCTTACTTTAATTACCTATGGGGGAGTTGTATATATTTTTTTCCCTCCGTCTACAACGTAAAATATCATAAAACTTTATGCCAACTCAATCAAATATATATTTTATACAAGGTGGAATACGTGTATACAATATATATATATATATCTTTATTTTTTTTGAGCAAGACATGGGGGTGGGTTGGGAAAACTTTCCTCGGCTATCGATTCGTTTTTATAATCGCGCACGGGTTTGGGTTTTCGGTTTCGCTACGTGTTTCACTTCTAAAAATACAACTGGCCATTAATGTCACGTATTGAGGAATAAATCTTCGGCGCGAAGGTATATTTAGATGGTGAGGTTATTTAATATTTTAATGGGGCTTCTTCCTTTCGGGTCCCGCTCGAATCGTACGTGTTTTATTTATTTATTTATTTATTTTTCTTCTTTTGTTCCTGTTTCGTTTTTCTTCATTCCAAGAGATTTACATGGGTGTATTTTATTTATCTCATTGTCGTTCATTTCTTCCGTCGCTCCTCCGAGGTGCAGGAAGAATTGCGCGCATTATGTAAGAACGGGCGCTTTGAGACCAGGTAAGAGCGCACCATAGTTGGGGGTAGCTGTGGGCTTTACAATCATCCGCCGCACGGGTCTCTATTGATTTTCCACGACAACTTGGCAAGGGTTTCCACGGGTTCTCTGCCATCGGGGACCAAAAACTGGAGTCACTTCGGTTTTGGGAGGTGGTTGCAGCTTGCTTGCACTTAAGCATTCCCGATATTTCACGCCGGCGGCGATTAATCTGGCGATTAGCCGCGGGGGCGGCGGATTCCTCTCCCGCCGCGCCGCGGCTTATTTGCATTGTTGACGCAAAATTATTAATGGGACCTTTGGGGGGAAGCAGCGGGGGATGATGGGGTTGGGAGGTCGGTCGCTCTAGCGAAACACGGGCGCAAAAACGCTGATCGATGCGTGGCGAGCGCCCACGTGGCCACGGGGTGCACGGAAGCCGCCCCCTCCGAAGCGGAGGGTGTAATGGAAGCAATCTCGCAGCTTCGGTATTAAAACATCAAGACCCAAGCCGAGCAGAAGAGATGGTTCGTGCTACAGAATAATAATGTCTAATTTCCTTCGCGTAAGTGCAGTGATATATTTTAATAAGACGTCTTTTTAATCAGGAATTCCATTATTGAAAAACAGAGCTTCCTAGGATCCAACTGGTAGATTTAATTCACTACCATTCAATATACTTCTCAAATCACGATGAGTAACTAACATTTATATTAACAAGCGGCGAATATATTTGCCCTATCCTTTATACAGTCTTCGAATATTAATTCAACAGTAGCTTTGACATGTTTTCTATAAAACGAGACTCATATTACCAAAATACGCCACAATAAAATAAAGAAATATATTAGTTATTCTTAAAATATCTTACTTTTAAAAAAATTGAAGTTTTCTATTATTGCATAAACTTGAAGCTATAATAATAATAAAGCAATTAAATGAAAATATTATTTGCTAAAATTACATCTTAATTTAATTACATTTTCTAGAAATAATTTATTTTACATTCATGGCGATTTTTCTCATAATAATTGAAATTAATTAATATTGGAATTAAGTTTCTTCGCAACTATTTCAATAATATAATTTTGATAATATTGAGTGTTTGGTAAGCGAGTAAGCATTTGAAACTTGGAAGCAAGACGTATGTGGAAATGCGATTGGATGGGATCAGATGAAATGGTAATAGTCACTTGGAACTATTAGTATTCATATTGGTCTCAGTTAGCTATGATATCCAATATGCAAACTGGGGCCGGAACTTCGGACGCCCGTCTAGTCTAATAATCGGGGAAATAGATAATAGACAACTTACCCATCGCTTTTGCAGCGGCGCCTTTAGCGTAGAAACAGAGGGCGTAGAGAAGGAGCACCAGGCCGGGCCGCGCCACTCCATGCCAGGCCATGGCACTGTTACCCTGTAACAACAAAGAAAAAAAAACAAACAATTATAATCAATGCATTTTTAAAATCATTCATTATTACAACAAAATTATTCATAGATATTTGAGACAAAAAATGTAAATTTGTCTTGACATAATATAAATATGTAATGATAATTTATAAAAATATTTTAGGAAGATTATTCTTGGGACATTGGGTAATAGAATACAAATATTAATTATTCAAAGGATTGTTTGGATGTGTTATGTCATTGATGGATGCGTTGCTTCTTTTCGTCGTATTCTTGAAAGTAACGTGACCGTAGTCCAAAATTGGTTTACACATACTTTTATGTATTTTTATACACGTCGATTCTTTCTATATGGTAATGCATCTTGTCTTGATCGTTTCCAAATTGTTTGGTGAACGTAATTTGCTTGCATGATAAATATTTAACTGAATATAAAAAAAAAATGCTTTGCTGGAGTAAAGGAAAGAAGAGCTCGATGGTCAGCTGGAAGGGAAACCTAGCAATTTACATATTGAGCAAAAATTTATTTTAAATATATTTCCGTTTAGAATATTCATATATTTTTGGTCCCGAAGTTGCAATCTCCGTGTCGGGGGTTGTTTGGGGATCCGGAGATTGAGAGATAGCATAGTAAATTCGAAATGTTTTAGGTGCGGCGGTGGCGGCGGATAAAGTGTAGGGCTGTGTGGAAGGTTGAGGGGCGGCCGGCGGTGGCGGTGGTGCGAGAGAAAGAGATATATGACAGTGTCACGAGCAGGGGGTTACTAAATAATAGCTCTGCGCCAAATTCATTTAACCCGACGCGGATCCCATTGAATGCAGCCTTCTTAAAGGAATTTGAAAGATGGGACTAATGAGGACAATGGTGTAGTTGGGTCGGAGATCCGGTGAGGCAGGGAATGCGATTGGCATTTAGTGCGCGCACTTTTCCCTCCCCCGGGAAGTGGCCTGCCTCGCAATCTGCCGCCCCCCGCGATCGCGTGCGCTTTATCGTGTATGTACACTATGCGCGGAGCTATTTTACATGTACATTGTGGCATGGGCATTGTCGGAAATCAGATGCTATAGTCATTAGAAAAAAAATCGCCCGCCACAGAAAATATCATCCCCGAATCGTCGCCGAACCGAGCATTAAAATTACTGAGATTCTATAGCGCGCAACTACATATTCTTCAATCTGATCAGATGAGCTCGACGATAAACTTCCGTAATTTCTGTTATTGCTGCGAACTGAGAAATGGGGAAATGCGGGGAAGTGAATAAAAACATCAACGACCGTGTGATTTATTTAATTGATTTGTTTATAGAGGTTTTGAAGCTGTGCCAAAAAAATTTGTGACCCGATTCTGTGTGGCCAAAAATTGATATTATGCGAGCGTGTCGAAGATTTCTAAATAAAGTTCGCGCTCTTGGATTTTGGTGTGCGGCATGTATAAAAGGAAGGGTTCGTTCCTTTGGAATAGATTACAGTTGCTGAGGCTCAACGAAATGGTCTTTTTCGGTTGCTACGTATGAATATAATGTCTATGCATTGATCTCGGCAAATATTAGCGGGGTAATGGAGGCGAAGCACGCTCATGCATGTGTACGCTCATTTGGTATACAATAGATGGATATTTCACCCTCGGAGTCATTACTCAGATTCTAATGGGCCCCAACTGCCGACTGGCATTGGATAAGTGGGCACAGTTCCACTGTCAAGGTATATACGTTGCGGACTCGCTCATAAAGCACGAGCAAAACTTGGTGGCGGTACAGCAGCGAGCGGCAGTTTCTGCCCCCCACTTCAACCCCTAACTTCCGTCCTCCTGCTACACCTCCTCATCCAGCATCCCCGAAAGATCTCAACTATGCTCCACTACACTCGTATACACAGATACGTACATCTGGCGCAGACGGTATAGTGAGTACTAGAGGGGTGTCAAAATCGGTGCCCCCCGTTGCACACCCTTCTCCTTCCCTCATCTTTTGTGCGGCGGGATTACTTAAATCACACATAACCGTGACAAGTGAAATATTGGGTTATTGATTGCCAAAATCCAGGACCATGGCGCAGACTATACACCCATACCACATACACACTGTTGCCAATTTACACAATCAGATCGCATGCCCGAGCTATATTAATCACGGCACCTTAACGCCCCCTCGGCCTTCCAACCTCGCTAATATTCCCCCCGTGCTTGATCGGCCACCCCTTTCGACCGCGTGAAACAATTTTGAGCACAACACCGCCACCGCGTTTTTCCCCCCATCCTTCGAGCGCTTTTTAAGTTCATTGATCAACCTAAAATTTGGAGTAAGCAAGGGGGGTCGCGTCACGCCGATGAAATATTGCCCACACTGCGGTATCGGCGATGCGTGTGGAAACGAAACAACCACCGCCACCCCCTCGAACACACCGTTCTACTCATGTATATTCGAATGTAAACCACTCGCTACACGATAACACAATGTCCGCCGCCGGCTTTCCGCCGATCCATTCCAAGACAAAAATCGCCCCCTAACTATGAAATAATGAAACGGTGGAAAGGAAACGAGGACGTAGCGCAACGGTGGCGAACTCAACGAAAAAAGGAATAAGAAGAAAGAAATGGAAACAAAAAAAAAGAAAAGAAAGAACGAAAATTACATAAAGCAAACCCGGGATAATTCCGAACTTGTACCAACATAAATATAAAGCAAAGTGGCTGTGCAACTGCGTCTGGCGGCAAAACACCCGAAAAAAGGTCAGCCTTTTAAAAAAAATAGAGAGAGAGAGAATAAAATAAAAGAACCAACTAATAAATTACCCCGAGAACTCACTCCCGAGGAAAATCAATAAAACGCCACCACTCGGTGCGCTACTTACATCCCAACACACACGCTCCAACAATAAAAAATAATACAAAGAAACACCATTCCTTCAACAATTACCAAATTACATATAAACCTTAAAGATCAAAACACAAACGAAAAATATATATATAATATTCATTCGCAAGGATAATTCAAAATATCAAAAGGATAGAATATTTAAAGATCTACAAAAAGAAAATGACACGTGTTCTTTGAAAAGGATTTTTTTTTTAAACAATAAATAATAACAGTGTTCTTAAGACAATTATCAAATTAAATATGAGTTGGGACAGTGTCATAAATCTGGTATTCAGCTCACCTTTTGAAGAAGGGAAATATGCAAAAAGGTCACCACGACAGGCACCCAAAGATAAATCCAGCACGAGACAATGCGTATAAATCTCGTCGCTTAAATCTATTTTTCCGGAGAAGAAAGAAGAAAGCCGCACTCGCGCGAACATCCAGCGCATAAACGAATCATTATATATCATCCGGATTGCTGAAGACCTACTTTCATTTACAGCCTAAACCGAAAATAAATACAGTGCGAACAGTTATTTTCATGTCCACAAGAATTGTTGTAGGCTTGTGTAATTAAAATACTTTTGTCGTTTAGATGAAAATTTATATAATTCTATAGCGTTTAATTTTAATTTCATTTCATTTAATGTAAACTTGTTTAGGATGCGAAAGTTCGGAATTTCACTCCAACATTTGAGTGTAAATATTATTTAGCCGCGTGATTTATTACGGTTTTCTGTAACTATTTTGATGCGAAAACGTAATAATTTAGTTTCCACGTAAAACAAAGTTTGCTTATAATTGCTTTAGTTCATTATGAAAATAATGTAAAATTATTTAAAATTAATACCTTTTTTAGGCATCTTTATAAATCTTGTAAAGGTAATAATAATAATAGTTTTTAGATGTAACAATTGAAATTTCATCATTTTCAGATGGTCAAAAGAATCTCTTTCGCATTGGACAGCAGTTCGTTTCGCAGGGCTTTGTCGCAAATTCAATTGGGGATCTTTGTGTCCACGGAGCTGTGCACTTTATTTTTCTTTCGTTTTGTTTTCAGTTCTCTTTGCGTGGTTTATTCAGTTTCGGCTTTTGCAGAATGTTGTGTCGTCGCGGCATTAAAGATTCACCTGGCACGTCTGTGAGGATGTCACGGCACGAAATGAAGGCGCGCACGCGAAAAAGATAAAAAAAAGCGAAGAACTGAAGAAAAAAAACAAGAACATACATGCACATACACACACCGAGCGGGAAAAGAGAGAAATCAAGTTGCAAATTCGCATCGCCGTATAAATTTTGCAGGATTCCGTCCGGTGTGTTCCCCTGCTGGCGCCGCAGCAGCCACCATCCGACCGCACAAACACGCATACAGCAGCAGCAGGACCTTTGTGCTGTATACTCGTACCAAACCATCACGGCCAGAGTTTATTTAATTGAAATAAATTAGCCGACAGTAGTTCGTTTCCATTTTATAAATTTAATACGCGACCTAAGTGAATTACACCTCTAATGCGCGGCCGCGCAGTCCCCCCTTTGATTCCGCTCGCAATTAGTTTGAAAGTAATTTTATTAGCTAATAATGTAATTCGGAGTCATATTTTTACGGAAACTAGTTTATGAACAAGCGAGACTGGACACAATAAAAAAAACTTTTACTACGGTTTCGAAATTTGAAAATTGAATGAATATGTAGTTATTCGAAGAATTCTGAGCTGAGTTGTGAGTTTAATTTAATGCCTGTACAACCATTTTATAAAATATAATTTATATATAGTACAATCCAATTAAATCGGATCGCTCTTTTTGATTCCTAATAAATATTGATCAGTTGTTATATAAAGCTTTTGGGAAGCGCTTCTTCCTTTAATTTAATTTTTTTTGTTGGGGGGCGTTGATTTACGGCGGCGGCGGCAATTGAATCTCTCAAAAATTTAAAAGTAATTTCGCAAGAGGTGCTGCGAGATCGGAACGGGCGATTGCGAAAAAATGTTATGTTTATCGAGGAGCAATTTGCGATACCATTCGATTGGATTGGATGGAGAGAAGCAGTTTGCTTTGGAGAGAAACGAGCGGAAGGAATGGGAGGGGTGGTTTTGGTGGAAGGGCACTAATTAAAGTTTCGTTTGGTTTTTTGACACCCCGGAG